GTTCATTGCCCCCTATTCATGTACATACGTGATTTGATTATGAGACCGAGCTGATACGTTATCGGTCGGTAATACCGTAACCTCGAGACTATATTGAAAATGGCACATGTAATTAATATTTATTCGATATTCGATATTCGTATTATGTAACAATAAACATAAACATGTTCAGAGTTCTATAAACTTTCCTTGACCTAGGTATGATGTGTTGAAAGATCGAATCCATACGTCTACTTTTTCCTTGCAATGCCTCACGTTTGCACAACCGTGCATGCTCTACAAATTGGTGCTCAAAAGCACTGCTGATAATAATGAAAATGTATCGATTTTAAAATAACAAAGGATGGAAAACGTTAGTGGTCTAACAATACGTAGGTACATTTGCGGTAGCCGATCAATACATTCCCACGATATAGGGTGAATTCACTTAGCCGTAAAAACCACTAAATCATCGATTGTAAAATGAATCATCTTTGAAACAGTTGTGAACATCTGGAACAATTCTTTTAGACAAATACAATTATTGCATACACACATAGATAAACCCCCCGATGTGTATACGGTAGTTTACGGTATGTGTTTATGTGACTGAAATTCAAAATTTGTTATTTAGGTAGGTAATATAACCTATAATAAGTACGATTTTATAATTAATATAAGTACGGCAAGGGGACGGGTCAACAACAATCCCATAACAAACACGTTAACGACGTCACTTTTTGCAATGGTTGCGTCGCATGAAAAGATATTTCAAAAATATTTCGTGAAAATCTTGCGATAAAAAAATGTTACATAAAGTCTTGTTCCCACTTTATCAGTATACTAGGCCTTTGTTAGTAATTAGGTAGATCAATCCAATAAAGTTCGCACGAATAACGTAACAAAACAATCCACTGATGACGTCTTCGGCAATTTATTGAAATAAGTTTTTGTAAGTAGGGGTGTGTGTTTATATGGTATGTACTTTTTTATGTTTATGAAGGTAAACGAACTGGCAGTCCACTTGATGGTAAGTGGTCACTGTCTCCCATGGACACATAGAGCACCAAGGGTGGTACCCTCATGCGTTACCGACTCTAAAGGAAAAGGTGACCCGCCTTTCATTTATTTATTTTATTTATTTATTTATTATTAGTTTATGCACAAGCGTAGAAAGGCGGACTTAATGCCATAGGCATATCTATCTCTACCAGTCAACCAAAGGGTGTTGTGGATAAATAGTGGTAGGGTGCAAAGCTTAGATGAAAATTACAGAAAGACGAACAGATATAAATATGAAGTAGTCATATATATAATTACACATACATATATAATACTTTTAAATACCATCATATAGATAAGTAGGAAAACCGCTGAGGAAAGTTCGTTCCAGTTCTTCTGGTGTATGCAAGAAAAAGGAATGCACATTATAACACATGGTGCTAGAACGAACGAATTATTTGAGTAAATAATCAAAGGGTTTGTCTTCTTAAACTAACTGCAATACAAAAAACCTTAATCCGTGTTACTTACAGCCTAGGCTCATTTAATATAAACAATCTTTTTATATCTTTAAGAGGTAGGTACTTCATTATTAATAATACAGTGTACTTCAATAAAGGACATAGCAAACAAACGAAATAGATCATTGTAAGTCGTTACCATTATCGTTATCGATCAAACGTAATAGCCTTATTACAGTGTCTTATATTCCTGTGCTAGGTTGCTGATCGACCTTGACGATATCTAGTTTGTGATGATAATCATTTCAATTATGTTTACGGCGTAGACGTCTACGAATTTTAAAACCTAACCGATATTTTTAATTTCTCTATTTTTTTTTATTTAACCCATAGGGTCTTTTGAAGCCACTTTATATAATAAATCTTAGGTTAATGTTTAGTGTATAGATACACTTGTGAGTTTTGTGACATCGGAAGTGCTGCAACGACTCCATAGCTCTCTTGTCTGCTCTTGCATCAGCGGGTTATCATTAATTCTGTAAAATTTTTACGCACGGATCCGCGCATTTTCCATAAAGATTATAGTGAAAATTTTACAGAAAAGTCCCGATGTTATTTGTCGAAAAAACACTTCACAATACAACAGTACCCCTAGCATCGTATTCGTATCGTTTGCGAGTCCGGAATGTCATTGTCAAATGTGTACTGATTTTTAGTTCTCGTTACGTACTTTGTGCCGCTGCTGTTCAAGTTTCCATACAAAATTTGACATTGACATTTCGGTTTGCAAACTATTCGAATTCGATAATGGTTCGTGCTAGGGGTACAGTACATAATCTTATTCAGCTGCAGTGCTTTGAAGGAGCGTATATTATTTCCGTGTTCTTCGATTGTAGCGGATTTGCTTTGCTCTTTAAAAATATTCATAAAGATAATATTTTGCTTTACCCCGTTCTTAATTCATTCTGTTAAGTAGACGCATTACGTTTATTCTTAGATATGGGCGCTGGAATACGAACTAAAGATTTGCTATGACTTACCTCTTTTCTATTAAAAACAAATCAAATTATATTATAACCTAAAAAAACTTACTAAAAAATCTGTGAAAGGGGCGACGCAATGAAACTCAGGTATACCGGACTGCCAGTTGTAGGCAGGCGACAACCGACGCACCTACCCAAAACCTATCACAATATTAAATATATAGATTACACTTACCCTAAGACTTAGTTACCTACGGAGAATTGGTTTTCGCAAATCGATAATATGTGCCTATTTTGCTTGTGGAATGATATCAATCCTCCTCCAGGAGCTACAAGCCTCCTAGTAATCTATGGATGTTGTATTAATGACCGTGGACTTCCCATGTGTAAAGTCTCTGCACTAGAACGTCGTGTGCTCGTCTCCTCCGCCTCTAAGCAGGCTCTGCACAGAAGACTAACTAACGTATATTCCTATCTTGCTATAAATACTGCTATTTATTATACTATTTAATAATAAATTGTATTCGTGCTTCAGGGCGCTTAGGCACATAAAATGCTATTGAACGAGCGATTGATTGTGAAATTCCATAACGTAATGTTACGCAACGAAGAAAGGAATTCTTTTCATTACGTCTTATCAGAAGCGGATGACAGGAGAATTTTCCATGGCAAAGTTTCCGTTCGGCATTATTTCCTTGTAGTGGACAGATAACACGACAATTTAGTGTTGTCCGGAACATAACTTATGTAAACGTATACGGGTGATTACTATTCCGGATTTAATAGGTGATGACGTCAATAGAATGCAGGATTTTAAGTCGCATTTAAGAAGTGCTAGCACAAATACATTTCTGTACCTACATATTTAGAGGAATACAAAAATGGACTCATCGCACATGACACTCTATGCGGGTAGTCTGCGAAACAATCTTTGTAAGCTGCTAAGGAAAAAAATTAGAGCTCATGAAAAAAATCGCACACTTTAATGAATTAATAGATCAAGATAAAGAATCATACAAAAAGTCTATCAGTCTAAAAGCGATCTAAATCAGCTTGCCACATTGTATTGTGTACCTTAATATCGATGTGTACTCTTAGATTAAAACAAAAAGGGTAGATACGGTACGCTCATACTTGCATCAAACAAAAACTGATCGCACGGCAGCGCGAACGGGACGGCGAGATCCGTGTCACTGCATTACCGACCCGAACGCAACAGCACGTTAAGTTTCAACGGCAGCGCGAACGAAACGGCGAGATCCGCGTCACTGCATTACCGACCAATCACGCGACCAGTACTCGACGTTACTACCGAATAAGATTCAAAACAAACAGCAAATTTTTATGAAAAATATATTTTATAGTACTTGAAATGTAATGAAAAGTGATGCCGTGGGTTTTATTTTAAGTTCTTGAGCAATTTGAGCACTTTTTAAAAACACGCTTATGCGTTGTTTTATCATATAAACACAAAATATTAGCAATATTTCTTTTTAGGCGTTCACATGGACGTCGTTTATGCAAACTGTCAAGTTGTGACTAAAGCGATTAGGGTCGTGGACCACAATTCATGCGGATCACTTTTGTGAGGCTAGTGCCGTATCTACCCTTTTAGTTATAATCTAAGTGTGTACTTTAACAATCTGAACTGAGTCGCGTTGAGTTCATGGACCGACCTCTGGTTAGGACGCAAGAATTGAATTTTATTGTTTACCCACAAATCTACACTGTGAGCCCACCCACATTCATCTTGGGGGATTATTAATAAAGAAATAAATATTAAACGTCACAACACGGACCTAAAAAGGACCGTCGTCACAACTGTAGTTCTGATCCCAGATGTGTGACGGACGGTGTTACTATAGAAATCGTGGCAATGAAAATTCCGTAAACAGCCAAAGTACAAAACAATAATATACAAATTTAATTTTATGTTACGTTACTGTCTTAGATGAGGAGCTCGATGGCGCAGGTGGTTAGCGCGTTCGGCTGTGATCGTTGAATTTAAGCAACTTTCGCAGTGGTCGGTCATTGGATGGGTGACCAAATATCTTCTATCTCGAGTTCCTCCGTGCTTCGGAAGGCACGTTAAGCCGTTGGTCCCGGCTGCATCTGCAGTCGTTAGCACCCACCAATCCGCACTGGGCCCGCGTGGTGGGTCATGGCCCAATCTCCCTATTCCATCCATAGGGAAGGCCTGTGCCCCAGCAGTGGGGACATTAATAGGCTGATGATGATGACTGTCTTAGAGATGGTGAAAAACAGTGTGTAAGCAGTGCTAAGCCATAGTGATTAAAAGCAGTTAAATGTTGATATTTTTATGAAAGTTATTTAGGTATTATTTTTATCTCCACTATAACCTACTTACAATGAGTACCTAAGAGATTCGTTAGTAGGGTAAGAGCCATAACCATGATCTCTCAACGTGATTTAGAAGCGCGACCAAAATGGGATGCCGCGATAGGTATTTGTCATGTAGCTAAGTAGGTATGTGTGACTTCAGCAATTGGAATTGACTCAAGTTGATAATTCACGGTACGACTTCAAATCCAGATGAATAATAAAAGATAAGTAGTACCTAAGACAAACAGATTTATTTTCTCCATTTACATATTCAGAAAAATGTAACAAGTTGAATATAAAGTAGATACTTAAACTTACGCACTACTATAATTTCAGTAAGCGATATTTTCCATTTCGATTGTTTATTTATTACAGATCAGACTAATAAAATACAATTTGTATTTTGCGTATTCGCTTGTTAAGAAAAAGATTGCCCAAGATTGCCATTACTGCACTCGATAACCAATTGAGAACGAACAGTATCAGCGTAAATTTTTATACTAGGTAATTTTGTCAAGATAAAAACGTCAAACTTGCCTCACACCATAAACATTATATAGAATGCATACTGACTTTTTGTCGTAAAATTCAAGATTAATAAAGGGCACCGGCGGACTTTGATATTTAACTTTGATAATTACTTACATTGGCGCCGGCGCAGATATCTGACGTTAATGTTCGCCAAAATAAGGCATTAATGCATTATTAGTGAATTTGAATATGCATGTTCGGTGAACGCACGCGACGACCGCGCGAGGCCGGCCGATCACCCGCCTTATGTAATAAGCAATCGGCTAATAAAGCGCATTAACCGCATTCAAAATAAAGGCACGGGGTACATTAATTTGCACCATAAGCACAGCGCTACAGGTGTCATAAATACACAGAATACCTTAAATTTAGTTAAATTACAACAATAAAAGCACCGGATTTATGAATCGATATTTTCTAATGCTGTTTTCATAAAACTACCGCCAGGTTTATGATTTGTTGTTATTTTATGGCACATGTTATAATAATTAAAAGAAAAAACTTAAAGCACTAATAAACCCGAAAGAGGATACGAATCAGTCTCAAGTTATTTTATGATCCTGAAGTAATTTTAGAGGGTAGTAATAAACACTTCTTATATTATTTTTCGAAAACTCCTGTGTACGAGTTATAAATTAAACAAAGTATTGTTACCAAACTAGGTACTATTTCGACGATCAGGAAAAAGACTTTCTATTCTGATGTATTTTTAAGTAACATGACAATTAACTTTTAATTAAAGTACTTAGTTGCTGTCACTGGCTTCACATCTGACTGACCTAATAAATGAAGCATACATTTTATAAATGTCTCTAATGATATTGAGTCTTCATTTCCGATGGTCAAAATGTCTTTTTCTAAAATACTTCAGGTACATTCCTTTACAGAGTGTAATCTAAGGTCATATCAATTTAACGCAAAAGTAAAAAAACAACCTTTTTGAGATTCAAACAAACGATATCGTTTACATTCTTATAATTATAAAAAAAATGGATGACGCACTGAGCTTTCAAGTTCTAATATATCTACATAGTAAAGTCGCTTTCCGCGTCTGTCTGTTTTCCAATAATTCTTTTCCACGTAAAGGATTTTCAAGCAGTTTCACCATCCATTTGATTACTTATTGAAGGAAGGTTTTAAAATAATATGACAAAAGTGTATACAAAAACTACAGTCTACACTGGCACTTCACTAGTGCAAAATAAGTGTTGTCGTAAGAATGTTCCTTTTTAACAGCTTATTTTTCAATAATATATAAAGTAAAGGAGATTGCTCAAATTGGCCCAAATGCAAAAAAAATATTGACATATGGTAATTCTTGGCGTAATTTATACTTTAATTTACAGTCATTAGATTTTAACGGACACCTTTGTATAATATTTTCATTTTAAAAAGGACTTTTAATTTTACCGGTTTGAAAAACATACGAATCATTTTTAATGGCTATGGGTGTAGTAACATTCAGCCAAAGACTGATCGTAGTTGTTTTTATAACATCAAAACAAATCTACTTTGTAAAGATCGATAAATAAATCATTTTTTTTTATTACACTGTGGTATTAATATCCACAACTATATTATCATTTTCACGACATGCAAATGTGCTAAGACAAATTATTATAGATGGTAGGCGACATCATAAAGTCTATTGCCATACATTTTTCGCCAAACACCTCCATAAACACATTATAAGGTGTGATATACTAAAAATTTAAAATATGGTTATAACATAAACATAACAAAAATAATAAAGCTACTGAAGATATGGCTGTATCAAGGGCGTACCCAGGAGCTTCTTCAGCTAGGAGGGGGCAGCTCATACCTGTTTCGAGAAGATGGTCGGTCGGGTATATTGAAACAAAAAATCATGAAAATTGACTTTTAATAATTAGTTTGATTATGACACAAAACAAAATATTAAATATATATAATAATCATAATACACATATATTAATTTAAAAGTAATCTTCTCGGATTTGCCGCCGAAAATTTGTCTAAGACAGTCTTTTGAATAAACTCACTGTTTTCTTTTAAATAATTGCGATGTACGCTCATCAGACATAAACCCGTAAGCCTTTCGAAGCGTATTGAAGGACCGTTCTACGGTCGCCGTGGTGCATGGGATAGTGCTTAAAATAATCAATGCCTTTCTGACAGCAGGGTAAAAAATATTGGCTTCGTTGAACAGATCAACTACTTCTATATCCCTTAATTGATCATCTGATAAAGTATTCTTCATCCATAAATTATGCCAAAGGTTCAGTTCTCCAGTGATATCCAGGTTATAAAATTCGTGGAATGATTCGGCATTTTTGTGTAAGTCTATAATGCTGGTTTTGGTCATATACAAGGTATGTAGCTTACTTAAAGCAAACGCCGGAGTATTTTCTTGGGAGAATCGAATATTCAACGATGAAATGAGTGAATCAATGTATGGTATTATCAGAGAACGCCGCCAATATTCGTTATCATTGTCAGATGGCGGATTACTTCTATGTGTTTGCTTATGAGCAAGACGTGGAACCGAAATTTCTATGTTCAAATCTATTGCAACAGCTCGCGCTTTTTGAAGCATTTCATTACTTATTTTATCAGGAAACTCGCGGTCATTTCTGAGAATGTCCTTGATATTTTTGATGTGTGCCCCCACCGAGATCATGTCGATCGATTTAGCTTGCAGTGCGTTAAATACTGGTTCTAAAACTGCTGAATATTTGGCTATTGTTTGTAGAGGAGCAATAAACACTGGGTTTGTAACGACTGAATGCAACGGATATGCAGATTTTCTGGTGGCATAATTTCCCTCTACGGATAACGTTTCTAGAGATTTCACAAGCTCTGGAAAATGTTGAGAAAACTTTCTGATTGATTTATATTTTTCGCACCATCTCGTCTCACACAATCGTGATAGGTTTGGAGCGTAGTTTCGACGAGTAGTCAACTCTCTGAAAAACGTTATAACATCCTTAATAGTGGCGACAGTATTTCTAATTTCTGGCACTGCGTTCGCATCATTCACAACAAGGTTGAGTTTGTGACTTGAGCAATGAAAATATAAAGCACGAGGATATTTTTTTCTCAAAATGGCTTGTACGCCACCCTCTTTCCCTGCCATTGTAGAACAGCCATCGAATCCAAACCCTACACAATCTTCTGATGGGAGGTTAGAACTAATCAAGAAATTGTCAATTGCTTCGGCGATTGCTAGTTCAACGAATCCTACAAATTCTTCTCTGATTTTCCTTTTGTTTTCGTCGTAGAACCGCACGCCTATTGATAGCTGTTCTTTCCCAGTTACGTCTGCTGTTTCATCAGCTAAGACTGCGTAAGCCATGGTCTTCTGAACCTCACTTATTATATTCTCCTTAATAACTTCGCCACATAAATTAATCAATTCGTTTTGTATTTTTGGCGATGTGTAAACTGCATTGCGACGGCACTTTTCCAGGTGACTCTTTAATTTGTCGTCCCCTGAATTGATTCTCAACTTTAAATATATAAATCTAATAAAACGCCCTCATCTGCTTGTTTTCCCCTAAGAGGCATATCATGTGTACCGCAAAATACTACACAAGAAATAATTGATGACAATATTTGTCTGTTTTTGGTTGGGCGTTTTATTATGTGTGAATTTTTTACATCAACAATGTTCGCATTTGGCTTTTGAATTTGCAATATGCTCGCTGACGCCACCTAGTGTTCGATCTGCGAACCTGTCCAGATGGCAGATATGTGGGTACTGCGAATATTGTTATGCGCGGGTACGCGAACTTAATAACGGTTGTTGGCTCGTCATTTTCCAAGGGCCGCTCTCTGCTGTGTTAGATTCCGTGCAGATAGGTCGTACGCAAACAAAGTAATACGCAGCGCGTAATTATCTCGAAAATCGCGTAGAAGATTTCAACCGCACCCAGAGGAAGAAAAAAGGAGCTGCATCGGCTGTGCCCACGCCAGCAAGCCCGATAAGGAGGCAGAGAGACATCCAGGTGAGTCGTTGGTGACATTGCGCTTATTCAATTTCCACTTGTTTCATTGTTGATGATTCTTTGTGTCTAAGCAGCTCGTACATAATAATTCACCCGCCGCACATACGTATATTGTCAAACCCGCATTCAGTGGTTGGCTATTTACACGCCACACCAGTTTTCATCGATTGCTTATTGGTGTCCACTTTGCAGTTGGATGTCTACAGGAACATTTTCAAGATTTTTTTGCAGCATTTGTCGCTGTTAGGTGAAGGTTGGTCGTTGCATGCTTTCGGCAGTCTTCATGGATATTTTTGAACTTTATATATGGCCTGACCATAAATGATCCCAAAATTCCTCTCACAGTACTGATGGGCGGAGGGAACAAAACACAATGCTTACAAAGAGCGCCTTTTAGTCGCTTGGAATATACTAGCCATGGTGCATATTGATCCAACCAAGCATTATTAAATTTCCTTTTCAAATGGCTTGCATCACTTTCATAATTATAATTTCTGGGCGGGATCCAAGGATGTTGTAACAATTCCCTTTTCTTTTCCGTCGATAGCTGAGCAGCCAACCCAACATAACGACCCGGATCATTTTCATGATAGCCATCGTCCACTATAATTTCAGGATCGACGTTGACGTCATAAGTTTGCTGGGATGTCGATGGAGAAGAATAATCGGCAACAGATATATTTACAGGTTCTGCTGGAGAATGTGTCGTTTGTCCAATGTTATCATGCAATGATCTTGGCATAACATGGGTTTTATCATGGTTGTCATTTTCATCGCTTCCTCCACTGCTACTTTCCAGACCTTTTTTTCTTTTTTCCCGTGTTGTCCCTACAAAAAGGATACACAAACATAATTACTCTTACGGTGTTTAGGCATAGAACGAAAGAAAAATTATGTACCACGTTTTTAAAGCGGACTAAACAGTATAAAATAAAATTTTCTAATGCCGTATAAATTGATCTAAGCATTTTAAATTATAATTAAGCATAAAAAGTAGCAGTCAATGAGAAAGCTCTTCTAACATGAGATTTCTCAACGACTGGTACTTTTTACACTTTTTATCATTACCTATCTTATTTTTTTTTCTTGCTCCCCACGTTTGTCGTTATACTTTTTAGTCCGTTTTAAAAACGTGGTAAGTATATTAAAAAGATCTGCTTTTTAGTCATAAAAAATGTATTTTTTTAAACTTTCAAACAAAAAAACAAGCAAACAAACAGACAGACAAGAAAACAATCTAATATTGTATTGTCATCCACTTCTGACCTACAGTCAAAATTTCAAGTCTCTAGCTCATCGGGAAGTAGGTTTAAAATCAATTGAAAGATTTGTACCGAACAGACAAATAGACAAGAAAACAATCTTATATTGTATTGTCATCCACTTCTAGCCTACAGCCAAAATTTCAAGTCTCTAGCTCATCTGGAAATCGGGAAGTTAGTTTAAAATCAATTGCCAGATTTGTACCGAACAGACAAACAGACAAGAAACGGACCTAATAAAAACGTGGTAATAAATAAAGATTAAGATACCTTTAAAAACATCACATTCAAATATCAATTACTTCCTATACACTTACAAGAGAGCCCCCCTTAAACAAATCAAATAATCATATTAGGTACATACATATGTGTTTTGTTTTGACTCACCTTTTTCAAAGAAATTCCTGATATCCATTTGACGGAGTAAATCTTTCCAGTTGTTGCGCAGTAAACGTAAATCTCGTGTCGCCGCAACTAAACTATAAGACACTATTATGGCGCATTAAATATTCGCTCGTATTAAACTCCGAACTAAATAGAATTGTATTCGAAATTTCGAACTGAATTGCCTTGCTCTGCCTCACGATCGCGCTTATATATTTGTCGGAGGATGTGATGAATAGGGTTGATTGTTGAATGCCAAGCGTGAAAAGGCTATTGTTTACACTTTAAATAATTTTATAAAATCTTAATTTAATTTAATTTCAAATAATTACAATTTTTGAATTGTTCAGTAACTTAGTAATTGAATAAAAGTCGCTAATAAATCATTTTATGTCGCGTCCAATCAGAGCAGAGCACGTGCCTCGAGTGGGGTCGAGGCGCCATCTTGATTTTCACAAGTGGGAGGTAGTTTTTGCGCATATTTAAAGGCGAGGAACAGATCGTAGCGGTTCATTTCTAGAAAGGTGATACGGTAGTTCAGTGAAGTCAGATTGGTACCTTGAACCCACTGCTCGGTTGTTACGTTATTTAAGTGTCCTTAGTGTAAAGTGTGTGTGAAACATTTTTATTTTGTTTTTGTTAAAAGAACGTAATTAAAACTATACGAACAGTGATTGAGTGATTGTTTGGTTTTGTGCCTGTATCAAGCCCCAATGACGCCCACTAAGCCCGTGAACGCTAATGACAAAGTGAATAGCCGCTCTCCGACATCAGAAGCGGGATCGGTGCAGGCACAAAATATGCACGATTCAACCGGGGTCAACGACGTTTTGCAAGCTCTGTTTGTTTGAAGTGCAACAAAACAGCAAGCAACGGATCGTGATATACAGGGAAGTAAACTTATTCTTTTACTTAGTAGGGCTATGAGATGTTCCGCCGCGTCATGGTTTTCGCAAATAGCTTTTCCTAATCTGTAATACTTGCACACATGGGGCAGGCTGAGCCACAGTTACAACGAAATATTTTTTTCTGAAGATATGACTACTGAACTTATGGCATATTCTTACCGCAAGCGGAGATATCATGAATTAAAAAACCGTTGCTAGTGCCATGCGAGATAACAATTTCCCTAGGTTAATTACGGTTTCAACAAAATGTTATGCTTCTGAAAAATCTTATGAATGTTTCAGCCCTTCGCGTGACAAGCAGCAATCAACTTCGACTTCTGACGACAACAATACGGCTGCGGCTACGACGAGGCCCCCGGTTAGCTGCTACAGACGTGGTGTTGAGGGTCACATCGCATCACGATGCACGAAAACCTGGCCAGCTACAAGCGGCAGCTTACAGTCTGCTGTTACATCCAGCAGTGTAAAACGAGTGGACGTATGCGGAGTGAAACCCGTCACTGGGGTGATCATATAATTTGGTGAGCAGTTTTCATTTTGCTTTGATTCCGGGGCTGATTGTTGGTAAATAGAAAGACTGTATATGGGTGTTTGAAGTATTTAAATGTATAGCGTGTTGGCACAATGAGTTGTTTGTAAGACTTGAGTAGCGTGGTGGTTGTAAAGTTTATGCTATGACGCCATAGAGGCGAGGAGGCCATTAAAATGTTGTTAAGCAAGGAGTCTAGTTAAGTGTAACGGCGAAGTGTCTGTTAAGTGCAACGGCGAGGTGGCTGTTAAGTGTAACGGTGAGGTGACTGTTAAGTGTAACGGCGAGTTGGCTGTTAAATGTAAGGGCGAGTTGGATGTTAAGTGTAAGGGCGAGTTGGCTGTTAAGTGTAACGGCGAGGTGACTGTTTAGTGTAACGGCGAGGTGACTGTTTAGTGCAATGGCGAGGTGGCTGTTAAGTGCAACGGTGAAGTGGTTGCTAAGTGTAACGGAGACGTGGCTGTTAAGTGTAACGGCGTAGTGGCTGTTTGGAAAGTACTTAATTGAGTATTCAACAGTGAGGTTCTTGGGGTACAGATTCCATACGTAACGATGAATTGTAAGGCTTATTTCAATTAGAATAGCAAATATTTCGAATGAAGCTGTAACGAAAAAAAAAAACATTTGGCGTGGTCAGGATTGGCCGATGTACTGTACATGAACCATTTCTTTTTTTACAGACAGCGAGCATGCTGGTTCTTCAACATCACACGAGGACGTGTGATAGGTCAGGATGGCCGTGTCGGAGGATGTGATGAATAGGGTTGATTGTTGAATGCCAAGCGTGAAAAGGCTATTGTTTACACTTTAAATAATTTTATAAAATCTTAATTTAATTTAATTTCAAATAACTACAATTTTTGAATTGTTCAGTAACTTAGTAATTGAATAAAAGTCGCTAATAAATCATTTTATGTCGCGTCCAATCAGAGCAGAGCACGTGCCTCGAGTGGGGTCGAGGCGCCATCTTGATTTTCACAAGTGGGAGGTAGTTTTTGCGCATATTTAAAGGCGAGGAACAGATCGTAGCGGTTCATTTCTAGAAAGGTGATACGGTAGTTCAGTGAAGTCAGATTGGTACCTTGAACCCACTGCTCGGTTGTTACGTTATTTAAGTGTCCTTAGTGTAAAGTGTGTGTGAAACATTTTTATTTTGTTTTTGTTAAAAGAACGTAATTAAAACTATACGAACAGTGATTGAGTGATTGTTTGGTTTTGTGCCTGTATCAAGCCCCAATGACGCCCACTAAGCCCGTGAACGCTAATGACAAAGTGAATAGCCGCTCTCCGACATATTCAAATATTCTCGCTCCCGAAATACGTAGAAAATACTCGACTCTGTTGCCATCCTTGTCTCATACTTGCTATCACTGTCTCTACTTTCCAGAATAGTCCATGCTAGAACGTTCTTCTTTACTGGAAAAAGCACTGTCGAGTGTCGTCGTCCGTAACTAGATAGCGCCAGCGCTAGACGTTGTTTTCTCCAAATTATATTCGGCTTTAATCCTAGATGGCTCTGATTATCTCGTCGGGAGCGGAAACTACGAGATACGACGGTTTCGTGGAAGATATAAATTATATTGCGGCGCTATTATATCGAATGTTGTAGAATATTTAATTATAGATAAAAAAATCAAAATATCTGACTGAAAAGATGTTTTGTTTCCAACACTTCATTTTGCGCAGAGTAGGTAACACGTTTTTAATTCCCACTTGCCAGGAAAATTGACGTTTATTTTATCTTCTAGGGGGGGGGGGCAGCTGCCCCCCCCCCCTGCCCCTACCTGGGTACGCCCATAGGCTGTATAACCGAAATCACTTGGCTTTCTTTGGTTACGAGAGATTGAAAATTCTCTCTAATCTGTAGCTCATTCACAATCATCACACAGTTTCTGTCACAGAGATAAGTTATTATTATAACCGGAAATGCATAGATGATACCTGATTTTAAAAGTTACTTTTGTGCGTTAACTTTAAAAACTGGCAACTCTCTGATAATCTACAAGCTCTATATACCTGAATGTAATACATAATTTCGTTACTTGACTTGATTTCCCTAGTTTACTATATAACTTATTTATTTTTTACTATTTTAATACCGATGTACCTATTTGTAAACATAACCTCAAAATCGTTCAGTGTATATGGTTTCTAGAAGTTCTCAGGGGTGTCCGTCAATAATATTCGTTTCTCAGTAATTTATATATAATTTCGAATCTAGGAAACAATTTTTCATGATTATTGGTCTTTAGGCCAAACATGTATGGAAGCTGAGCAATCTCCTTTACTAATACAAGTACCTTTTATAAGTACCCATACCTACTCTCGTCAGTGTCATTTTACATATTGTTGAAATAAATGATACAAAAATTGATTTAGCCACAATAATCAACTTAAAACACAAATATAGTAATATAAGTTGTAATATAAGTACGGGATTGTTACCATGTAGAGTTTCCGATATTCCGGCACTGTTGCAAGCGCCATGATCACGGAGTAACTTCTGTTCACGGTGTTACTCCGTGATCATGACTCTTACAACAGTGCCGAAATACAACATCATGTACATGGTAACAATCCCGTAATGGCATCGTCAGTTTCTACTAAATCTAAGCAGCGCCTCTACCGGCCGTAAGAACAAACTGGCTCCTTCCAAAAAATACAGTTTCATATAATTAAAATTTACATATCTGCCAAAGTTGGTGTTTGGGCCTCAGATAGCTGAGGCCCAAACACCAACTTATTAAATAAGTAGTAATAAATGAAAACACTCATCAAAAGTGTCTAGGGATCAAGTAATTAATTACAATAAAAAAAACTAATCGAGGCTTTTTACTTTAATTCCTATGGATAAAGGTAAAAACGAGTTGCAAGTTTGTCAGTTCTCTGGTGGTTTGTTGCCATAAGTTTTTTGTATGATTAATAAGATTTGTTTTGTTACATTTAGTAAAAATATAAAATAATTGCAATTTTAGTAAGTTTTTAATTGATTTTAAATCTACGTTTAACCTACGTTTGTGCATTGTGCAGGTACTTGATCCTTTCGATACTAATAATGTGAGTACTTTCATAAAATTGTTAAAAATAATTTAGCATCATTCGATAACAATAATTTTACTTATTCTATTTTATCAACAATTTCAATGAATAAATGTCTCTTCGTTTCAAAGAAGGAGGAGAAATGAGAAAAATATGCGAAACGTAGAGATGTATAAGAGTATGTAAGAAAACATTTTAAATCCGATAAAAGAGTGTTTTATTTAATGAGTGGTATTTAATGGCTATATGTATTTCTAGATAAATATATATATATAGGTACCTATGTATCTATCCGTAATAATGTATTCTATCCGTTACCCTAGTATCCCGTAACACAAGCCTTACAGTGCTTACTTTTGGGCTAGGCTAATTGGTGTGAATGTTAGTAATATTTATTTATTATTTATTTATTTCCCAACATTTTAATACTTATAGGTACATAAATTCATCAGACAAAAAACATATTCTATAGCTAAGATTAAAAGTATCAAACAATTAAGGTGATATCACTTGCTTGCTATTTATGATATAAACAGGCAATATTTTGGTACACCAAAAAAGCAGTAATACCAAAGTACATAGAGAAAAAATACTTGAATGGGACGAAATTCGAAGACGGTTTTATGGATACTGTCTAATGAGTCTTTTATTTTTATAAGTATCAATGCAATCCATTTTATCACCATCCTTCTTACACTCATAATGTGTGCAAGAGACGGGAATAAGATTTTTACTTTACTTTTAGTCTCTTTTTATATTACTTTAACACAGAATGATCAATAGTCAGTTATATAATCTTTGATTTTTGTAAAATTTTCCATAGATATAAAAATCAAGCAGTTTAATGCTTAACAAGATACTAAAATAAAAACTTCATCGCTATTTCTTTTTTAAGATTGTTCGATACTTTTGAAAGTATCCTATCTCATTTAATTTTGTAGTTGCCTGCAATGTAAAAGTTGCGCTGTATTGCAGCTTAAGGTACCAGGATAAATTCGATATATCCATTGTTTTCTTAGTATTTTAGATGTTAGCGCATTCGCCGAATAGCGAAAGGCGCTGGATCAAATCTTGCATGATGCCTGGGCCGAATTAAATATATTTTTTTGTTAAATTTTCTTCTAATATTCCTAGGTGTGTATAAACAAAAGTCTAGTTATAAAACAGTTCAGATAAAACAACATAAGTTCACCTTCATTGTGGTCATTGGCACTAGATAAATGTAGCACTAACTCTTCCCGCCAGAAGGTGAACATTGCATTAACATAACCATTCTACATAAGGGCCAGTCAACTCGCCTATTGGATACAAATTATGTCATATTCCTACTTACTGGTACAATCGTTACCACGCAAATATTACACGTTTGCATTGCGAATATGACTCTTCCTGCTACGCAATAGAGGTCCGATGAATGTCGAACTTGAATTTATTAAAATAGTTTTCATTGTAAACTACGCTTGACATTCAACGGAGAATATTTCAATGAGATAGACGTAATACCATTAAAATAGATTTTCTAAGATAAGATTTTCTCACATAGGTACCTAATATAAAAACTGTGTATAATTTGCAGCATGCATTTCCAAAATCATCGTTAGTACCTATATGTCAATGCAGACATAAAATTTTTAAGAGTAAGAATTTTGAAGTCATCATGATAACAGTTTGGCACATAAAATATCCCTACTTTTTATATACAAGCCGCAACTCGCTAGCATTTGAAAATATCCCACCCCACTTGAAGTCTAAGTGTAAGGGAAGTCCAGCCGTGAAGATAGCTGTCGCCGTAGCATGAGCACCACAATTTATATTATATCGATAGAGGTATAAGAATAGAGTAGGGGAGATATACACTCTACTACAAGTGGAAGTGTCCTTCTAATAGAAAGAAAAAGCAGATGAGAGACTGCTAGCTTACTCTCTCTAATCGTGCGGCGCATTGGCAACCGTAAGCATCTTACTATTTTGATGTGATGCCATTGGATGTCATGCGTCACAAGAGTGAGAGATAGTTAGCCGTCTCTCATCTTCTTTCTCTTTCTACTAGACGGACACTTTTAGAGCCGCCTTCCCCACTGTATTTTATACCTCTATGATTATATCACGTTTTTATCGTGTTTGTCAAACTCTATAGTAATTTGACAATTGAGCGTGATTAAAACGATCATAATATTAACAAGAGTGCCACTTCGACTATCCTCACCTTGTTGGGCTGAAACCAATCTCCTGCCTTGTGGAGCCCTGGAACCTCGCTCACCAACAGAAACGATAGCAAAAACTTCTGTTATTTTACAGTGGTCTTCTGTAATTAGGGTAACCAACTTTCTATCAAATATAGTATTTTCGAAGCTGTTACCTCTACAAAATATAGTAGATGGCAAAATATTGAAAATAGTATGTGGTTAAATATTTACTTTATGTTTGAAATATATATATTTTTGCTGCTATATTTCCTTAATAATGAAGATTTTATTTGTAAGAAAGCTTTTACTGGCAAGTCTGCTTTGAGCAAAAAATAGTAGTTTCGCCTTTTTTTTCTAGAAATATAGTATATGATCCCCTAATACAGTAGGATTCTATATTATATAGTAGGGTTGGCAACCCTATCTGTAATATAAAGGCTACATCTCCCGCTAATCGCGCGCTAAGACAGGTAGGGCACAGCGGATTTGCCGCTCAATTGGAGCGCCCGTCTGGGGAAACAAGTTTACTGAAGACCTCAGTAAAATAACAATTCCTTTTGGTAGTGTTGTGATTCTGTTGGTGAGTAGGGTTCCAAAACTCCGCGATTGGATTCAGGGGGTCATACGCCTAACGAAATTTCTATGGCTATCACTGTCGGTTACGATTTCATATTGTTATTTCTGACCGCCAAAAGTTTTCAGATACGTTACGCTCATTTTCTTTAATATTGTTGTTACCAAAGAAAAAAAAATGAGTGCGGGGCATTTGAAAACATTCAGCGGTCAGAAGTAACAAAACGAAATCGTAAGAGATAGCGATTGCCATAGCAATCCCGTTAGGCGAATGGCCTCCAGGAAGGCAAGTTGACGATGGCTAGAGTGGCACACCTTTTGCCGTATCATCTATTTTCGCGACTGGACCCCACATGTTAAGTATAAAATTAACATCAGGTGCGGTGGGATAATTTGTTGCGCCACGTAAAACAAATATAAATATTTTCTCTGATTGTGCTATTGTTTAACTAAGCACCAATACTAACGTAAAACTGGATAGGTACTGATTATATTTATAAAATTAAAATGGAGTATCTTATAAAATTTCCAATACCTAATTGATAGTTTGTTGTTAGTAGAATATTTTTTTCGATTAACAGCACCTACATTTATATAAATTTAATCTTAAAGAAGCTAGCTAAAAGAACATAATTGAAACTTCTCTTAAGACTTTTAATTAAAAATATAGATTTTTGACACAATACAAAATACGTTACATTATTTGATATAATTTAATTATAAACATTTTTAAGGCTATTTACACATACAATTATTTATTTTAGCTCCCGTTTTTTATTTTCAGTCAGTTCAGATAAGAAATCAATAATATCAGTACCTTTAGCACGGATTTCGACTAAACTCAATACGCGTCAAAAAGTTAGTTAAATAATGAGTGAGCCTTCGGCATTGTCCTAATACAACGCGATAACGCGAATGAGCGATGCGATCATCGTACGAGTCGACGATCAAACATATTGATCTAGAATAGGTGTCCTAATGGGCGACCGCGCGATGCATTCGCGCGACTAAAATGTTTAAAAATCTATCGCAATCATAGAACGCGCAATCAAACCTATTAATGATGAATAGATGTCCTAACTGAAGTTCACGCGATGATCGCGTCGCGTCGATAGGAAGCGGGGAGAGGGGCACTGCTAACCCGACCAAACTGTGTGTCAATCGTGAAATAAAACCTATTGCTAAAGGAATAAGCCATTTAAACATTATGTTGTAAAATCAAATCAAATAGCGGGCGATTTCTCGACTTCCTGTTAGACACTTCCGTCCCATTTCACGAAATCACTCCCACAAATTGCAGAAAAGCGAGAGGAAAGATGTGGCGCTGTTCAAATTTCCATACAAAAGCTTCTTGACATTTGACGCGTACTGAGATCGAATTTAACTATTCTAATTCGATATTGGTTCGTGCTAGGGGTATAGATCTTATTACTTTAATATACTAGTTATTTAGGAATTAGGCCTTCGACTCGTTTATATAAGTATAAAAGTTCGGTGCGCGGTAAAAAAAAAAATTTGTAGGCGCAATGTTGCCAACCTTTCTGTTATTGCCGTATCCGTAGAGTATTTTTTAATAAATATACCTATAATTGACAAAAAAGTATGGTAATATAAAATTACAAAAAAACTTAAATCTATTAATTGTATTGCCATACTATTGGAAAAGTTGGAGTTTTCTACACACTCCACAGGAATTCATTAAGGCGCAATTACATTTAGTCGCTAGCCCGTATTTGGGTGTACGAAAGACCTTACTCGACTTCGGTCACCCGATGCAATAATTATGTACATTATTTCACTCTCGTTCTGAAAATTGGGCAAACGACCTTGCACCAGCGTTTTAATTGGAACGTTTAGTGAAATGCGAAATTGAGGGGAACCAAATCGAATACGAGCGTACTAGAATCCGTTCAGTTACAGTTAGTCGTTTGTCTGATTTTTTTATAGGCAATCGTATACGAGCTTACGAACAAGTATAATTGCACCTTTGCACAGATTTGTATCGAAGGTGCCAACTCAAAAATAACAACTCTTTAATAGAACTTTGTGATGTTACTAGATTACTAAGCCAATTACTTAACTTCACTTGAAAGGCTCCTACATATTATAGTGAGAATGAAGTTCAGTTACTATTCGGGGATACGATATCGAAACCAGAAGTGTCGATGCCTTGTTAATATCGGTATCCAAACAAAAGTATTTAATGAGTAAAAGTATCGAAACTGAAGTACATTTGTTGCGCCTGGAGTTTCGATTGATCATCGATACTGATGCACTGTAATCTTATAAGTACTGCATACCGAATTAAAGTATCGATATTTTAAGTCTAGTGTCGAATAAAAATTAGTGATATGAGAAAATATATTAATATCATGTCCCTCGTTACTATAAGTATACTCTTGTCACGGGAAAAAGCTAGAACCAATGAAATTGGCTGGATTATTAGTCTTTACTCCAGCCGAAGATCCATTCCATTCTTGTCTTTTGCAAGCCAACGTGTAATAAAGAAAGCGCTCCACTAGCCAGTTTCCATAAACACAGTATCATGCTAGGACTTTTATGGTTATTCGTATTTGCTATTTTTGGAAAGTTGACAGACTCACTAGTATCATGTAAATAACGAAAAGGAGAGACTGTTGTCTATTTTAGCCTGGGCACACACTTACGGTTTCCTGATCAGTAATCCTGATTAGGAGACCTGAATGCACGTCCTTACATACAAAATGTTAAACAAGGCGCACACTATTAGATTTTTTTTCAGAACGAAAAAAACCTTACGGTCCTGTCGGACTCCTAACTAATAATAAAAACCCAAATTGGTTTGATAAATATACATAATAGCACCGAACACGTTTGTTTTACCAGGTTGAGTCCTATTGAACAAACCTGAGAAGTTTCAACTATAATACTTACAGTATAAATACACAATTTATAAATATAGTGTAAATATAATAATTCTTAAATTTATAATTTGACATTTGCCTAACATCTTTATAGTATACATTATTTCGCTTGAATAAATATATGAAATATATATAAAAAGGTGTTATTAGGCTGCAACAAAAAGCAGTTTTGTAGCAGCAATCAAATATCACTTAATAAAGGACTGCAGAGCAGCAGTATTCTTTAAGGTATATACTTCTCCAGAAGAGTAAAAAGAGGTATTTATTTTGACCGACTAATCGCCGAGCAGTACAGAAGTCTCTGCTTAAAACTATGTGAAAAAAACTCATCATCGACAACATTATAAGTATTTCATAATGATTAAATTTATATAAGCAGTGCGATTCAAAATTGTAGCCGTATGTGAAGTTAGCAACGAGCATAACTATGTGCAGATTTCAGTTCAGTGACATCAGCGCACATTTCTTTTACTGCGCTGCGATTTGCACTAACTTCACAGCCGCCATTAAGTTTGAATCGCCCTATACTAAATTGAAAATCACAGTGAGCTCACTGTTACATTGAATAAATGTTACGAAAATTGTATGCGAGTAAGAGACCAAATTGTATTCTATTGTAGCATAGCCACCATACACAACCTTATGCTGACTAACCAACATAGAATGGCATATTACTCAATTCCTTAGTAGCTAACCTAGCTGCCCTGTTCAACGTAACATTGCAATGACTGTGCAGAGCTTCCAGTCTATCTTTCTCTTTCTTACTCCACTTGGTTTCCATAGCAACCGAGAACGCAGTACATGAGAAAGTGCACAACAAACTTATAAGTATGCAAACTCGCATCCTAAGCGCATCGTTCGGTTGTTCTAGGAGAGTTAAAAAGTTGAATTTTTCGTTTTCGAATAAAACTTTTTCCACGACATCGGCGTATTCTGGTAAATCTTGCAAAACTGTAATGAGTAGGCCGACAATATTGAGCACCACACGAGGAGACTTGGAAGCTGAAAAAATTAAAGGAAAAGTAATGTAATTAACTTGTTAGTTCCAAGTAATATATTAAGTATTTTTAAAATTTTACTGTACCAAAATAATCACTTAAAAATATTTCTGCGCATTAGGTCGAATATATAAATATTTATATGTATTATGGCGTCAAGAACCTAGTGCAAGATATACTTATATCTTATATCAGGTTATGTGTATAACCTGAAGAGCTGCTGTGTACGGTTAATTAAGTTACCACACAGTTGCAATTTCCTCAATCCTTTCTAAATCTTACATCAAACAAAATAGGGAAGATGCATATATAATATTTATGAAAATTTTATGATTAAAATGTTAAAAAAATATAAAAGAAATGCCACTGCAACGTTTTTATTTTACATAATGTTGTTTTTTAACAATTATTACGAATTAAAAATACTTGAAACGGAACGTATTTTAAAACACCAATCAGCGTTTAGTGACGTCACTCCTGTTATGACAACTTCTTTGAGGTTATGGTTGCTATAGTAAATATTATTTTATGGGAATATTTATTGCGTTTTTTTACATTTAATAAAAATGGAAGTTGCGTTTATCAAAGCAGACTCCAGGAATTTACCAAGAGTTAGCGTTGACATGGTTATAACTTTTTTGTCCAAAGTGCAGAGGTTTTAAGTGTAGAAATGAAAGGGACTAAATTACTACGGTATGTAAAAATCGTAGTTGTTAAACTTCGTATTTTATTCAGCGGCTTCTACAAATCTTACGGCGATAATTCAATCGGCTATGTCCAAATTAAAAGAGATGGAAAATTATGTACAGTAAAAAGTCGAGTTCTCCGGAGCATAAAGTACGTAAAGAAGGTTATCGTGTTATTTTAAATGAAACGCAAAGCTTGGTTCAGTCCTGCCAATGTGAAGATTGTGCCACACATTTTAAACTTTATCTAATTTTCGAAGTAGTAGTAAGTACTAATGCGTTTTTAGGTACAAGCAGATTAATTAAGCATATATATATATATCTCAGCATCGAATAATGGTCTTTGGAGAATAATTGTCATTTCTCTTCGCAGCTTGAAACCACTTTTTTTTCAGTTTTGGGTCAGAAGTTCCAGTCAAAAACAGTTTATTTGGAAACTTTGTTGAAGTAGATTGGCACAAAACATGAGTCAACACGGCTTTTTTTCGGAATATTAGTGGTATTGTTATGATTACATGATGTTGATGGATAGTCCATTTAAAATTTTTCAAAACATATTTCGAGTCGAAATAATATGCAAAAGTATGAAAATTTAAAGCCAGCGACGAACAAGTACGACCAGTGACAGACAGGAGTGACGTCATCGCTAACATAGGTTCATTTTCGCGCGAAAATTGAAATTGTCAATTTAAAACCGCATTTTTTCCGATAAATCACAATGTTTTAATTTTTTAATATATCTGTGGTTTATTCTACATGGAATTCTTTAAAATGAAAACAAAAATAAAAATATTGCATCTTCCCTATTACCCTCAAAGCCAAAAGTCAAATTTGGACTGGAATGAGATTTGCCAGTTTTAGATACTGTTTAAGTAAGTTTTATAAAAAATCGAGTTCTAATAAACTTTAAGCATACATCCTGCACATATTATATCTAGGAGCTCGATGAAGCCGCTGGACAGCGCGGTCGGCCTGCTATCAATGAAGTTAAGCAAATTTCGCAATTGTCGGTCATTGAATGGGTGACCATAACTTATTATCTCAAGCTCCTCGATTCTTCGGATGGCACGTTAAGCCGTTGTTCCCGGCTGCATCTGCAGTCATTGCCACCCGCCAGTCCGCACTGGACCCGCGTGGTGGGTCGTGGTCCAATCTCCCTATTCCATCCATAGGGAAGGCCTGTGCCCCAGCAGTGGGGAAATTAATAGGCTGGTGATGATGATAATTATATTATATATGTAGTTATAAAAACAAAACTACTTACAATTAATAAGTAAGTTTGTTAAAACGGAGTGAGCACTATAAGTGGCGAGGGCGGTCGCAAACTGCCTGACGCCGCGACACGATCGCACGCACAGCCAGGAACACACCTCGATCATTCGACTGACGCCTTGCAATCTACAATCACAATTCTCGTTATATTCTTCTATTTCGAATGCAAGAATAGAGTGAGTGATTGAGTCTCCTGTCCAACGTAAAGTAAAACCTGCGCCTAACGCTGCGCTTCCACTTAAGCTCAGAACAGTTCTGAACATATTAACCTACTTAGTATTTAAATAATGACAGAGTAAGGAAAAGAGATACCATGCCCTTAAGACAATCCTACAAGTTAGAAAGAGACGCAACATGATGTAGGCCCCTTTGGTCCAATAAAGAAAGAGTCAGCAGCATCCAGTCAAGTTTATTGGGAAATTCTGTGAAACTAAGGAAACAATTGTGCTTATACAAATCAGTTTCTGTTATGGTATCCTGTGTTTTAAGCATATCTTGACAAAATAACACTATCACTCACAATAAAACACCGATACGCAAACATGCACAATGGAATTTTTGGAACACTTGCGATAGTATTGCTGAACGACCACCGACCACGCATTTGTTCGCTTTGTAATCAACGATATTAAATACCCCAGATACACCAACACGAACAAAATCATGCCCGAAGCCTGTCCAAAGGGTACATTCGACGATCCACGGAGCTCCGTAAGATAATCGCACAGTCTAAACAATATAAGTCATTATTTAAACATTTAAAATCACCTTTAAAGCATATTGTATAAGGTCCTTATCAAAGCGCATGCGTCAAAGAGTTATGACAGTCCGAGATTTTACATACTATAAGTATTCATTTCGCATTTTTTCACAGAGCTCAGCGGCATGTTGACTTTTCAACGGTCCGCGTGTGACTGTGAACCAAGAAGTGCTTGAGTCGTGTTCAAGCACTTCTTGATAGGGACACATTTTGAGCGCACGTGGTGTATCTAGGGTATTTAATATCGTGGTTTGTAATTGGAAACATCAGAGCGAGCCAACGAGTTTGTTTTACGATGTTTGATTGGAGTCAGTGAACGAATGCTCTCTTACTCAATCATCAATGGAAAAAATGGAATGGCATATAAACATTTGCTTTGAGCATTCCATTTACAGAGCGATCAAATGTTTTCTCGCTCAGAACTGTACCCCGAACGAACAAAGCACGAACAACTAGCGAGAAAGTATTCGTATCGCCATCGTCAAAGTTTCTATGGAATAAGCTAGTTTGTTATTACGTCAGGTAGGGTGCGCTGCTTAGTTTCCATAGTAACTTTGACATGGCGATACCAATACTTTTTTGCTAGTTGTTCGTTCCTGGGATACTGTTCTGAGCTTAAGTGAAAACGCAACATTAGACAATGTTTCCGAGCGAACTTTAAAATGATAAATCGCAACAATCGCGATCTTATTAATTCCGAATAATGAATCATCTATACTAATATTATAAAGCTGCAGTTTGTTTGTTTGTTTGAACGCGCTAATCTCTGGAACTTCTGGTCCGATTTGAATGATTCTTTCAGTGTTGGGTAGTACATTTATCGAGGAAGGCTATAGGCTATATTTTTTTTTCAAAATTAGGGATCCGTAATAAAATTGCTATTTTGTAACACAAGGTGTAAAATCGAAAACCTATTTTTGCGTGCGCTGCAAAAACTATTGACAATAGAACAAAATGATGTACTACGGGTTTGTAGATCCCATTAAGACCTACAAAAAAGTCTGCGAGAACATATATCTAGCTATCATGGTTTAATCACAATAACCGATTTTGTGTTCAAAATAATTATTAAATCGTCTGAAGAAAAAAAAACTACGTTAAATATGTATCGTAATATTAATTTTTATCGAAATTAAGCATTATGTTATCAAGAGTATTTATGTAGAAGTAAAATACTTTTTGTTTCATCTCAATCGGATATTTCGTTTAAAAGTTATCACGTGTGTAAGATGTTAAGAGTTGGTACCTATTAATGAGTTATGGGCCATAGAGTTTTTTATCAACATAAAATCCTGTAATAATCTTTTTGAAATATATTTGTTGATGATTGTAAGTATAAGATCTTTGAAGAGTATAATAAATACATTTCTAAAACAACTCTGCTAAGGAAATCCACGCGCGCTTGATGCAAGCAAGACAAGACGCTGGCGGCGCGGCGGCGGGCGAGACGAGGAGGCGGAGCTTGCTGGCCGCCTGTCGCTCTTATTTATTGAAAGAAATTGAAAAAAATATTTTATTGAAAGTATGACAGTAGGTACACGGTCTAAGGGTGCACTAAGAAAGGAACCCCCCCCCCCCCCTCTATAAATAATAATTTAATTATTTATAGCTTATTTTTAAACTTTAAAGTAAGCGTTTTCGTTCAAACGAATAGAAATAAACTTTTTCTAAGCCCCCTGGGCAGATAAGAGTGAGAGAAGCGATCTTGGAAAATCGCTTCCTGCCTTTCTAAGGAGTAGTCTATTTCGTGCGGGAGTTGCTTAGTCCATTCTCATTTTCCATAATAATTAATTCATCTCGTTCCCTTGATTTTCAATGTTTTTTGGCAATGTCGACAATAACCATTTCATAAGCTTTTTGTTACTTTTAACTTTAATGACATTTTTGATATTATGAAGGCACAAATGAATACTGTATAAACTTACTTGTCTTCTGCTTCGTCATCAGTCTCTTTGCTATTTCTCATTAAGATATTTATAGCTGCCACGAAGTTGAATACAACTTTAGCTTCAAGGTAGACCTGAAAAATAAAATTATCATATTATTATATTGTATGACAGTCGAGGTGCATGACCCGTTTTTGGAAGCTTGTTCGGGAGGTTGAAAGTCATCAAACCTACGAGCGAGACGACTCGTTATATTTCTCGAAAACTACTTATAAACATGACTTAGAAGTTCTCAAAAACAAGACATTCTCACTTCTGCCCCATGTCTTGGCGTGAATGCCGGCCAAAGCCGAATGATGGAATGAGTAACGTTTTTAGTTTAGAATGTAGATTTATAGAGAGCGATTCGATAAAATACGGTGTTTAAATTTTTGTTCAACGACAAATATTGACGAAGTTATGACCAAATTACTAAACGAATTTTTTGACTAGCCCGCGTGGTGGCTGTGACGTGACAGAGCTCTAGCGCTCGGGTCGCGCTAGATTTTGTTTGTGTGTGGGTATGGTTGAACGCGTTGATTTGGTTGAAAGCGCTTATATTAAAAACTACTGGTCCGGTTTGCTAATTTTTTTTTTTTTTGGTTAGTCCATTATTTGAGGAAGACTTAAGGCTATATAACATAACGCTACAACCAATAGAAGCGGAGCATCAATGAAATATGTTTTATGGCCAGCCCAGATGTGGGACATTTTAACGGGCACTTTTTGTCCGCCAAAATAGATTGCTTACTACTGCATCGACTTCGTGCTATATTTCACCGGAACACAACGGCAGCACAACTAGTCGCGCCACCGTGGTGCCCGTAAGCTACCAACCTAGTCACCATACAGACATAAGAGTCGTCACACCACAGTATCAAAATGGACTTCGACGATGAGACATTGGTGTCAATTCTGGTATGATTGTCCTAAACCTTAAGTTATATTTGACAACTTCCTTGTCATACTGGCTCAGCGATGCTGGCTCAGCGATGCTGGCTCAGCGATGCTGGCTCAGCGATACTTGCTCAGCGATACTGGCTCAGCGAGTAACCCTCGGCGGTACTGACTCAGCGATACTGGCTCAGAGATTATCCCACAGCGATATGGGCTCAGCGAGTAACCCTCAGCGATACTCTCTCAGTGCTTTTCGATCAGCGATTCTCGGTCAGTGATACTGACTCAGCGATGCTGGTTCAGCGGTACTCACACAGCGATACTGGATCAGCGATTCTCGCTCAGGGATACTGATTCAGCATTGCTGGCTCAGCGAGTATCCCTTAGCAGCCCGCTCCGCGATACTCGCCCAGCGATTCTGGCTTAGCGATACCCACCCAAAGACACAATATGTGATCATCTTCACTAACGTCCTGTATGTTGAGTAGCGTGTACCTGGGCAGCATGTAAAAGAGCGCGGGCACAAAAAATAAGGCCGCCTACTACGCCCACTGTTAGCTATAAAACATGTACATTAAGACAATGTAATCATGTTGATTACGTCCCTTATGTTGAGCAGCATGTAAACCAGTTCTGGCAGAGCCAATAAGGCCACCACTGTGCCACATACTGGCGTATCACGACTGCTGTTAGCTTTAAAACATGTACATAAAGACACAATATATGATCATATTGCTAACGACCTTTATATTGAGTAGCGTGTGAACGAGCGCGGGCAGAGCCAATACGACGGCGCCACACACTCGCGCGCCAAAACTTCTGTTAACTATAAAACATGTAAATAAAAAAGAATATGTGATTATCTTCACTTACGTCCTGTATGTTGAGTAACGTGTGCCTGGGCAGCGTGTGAACGAGCGGGGGCAAAGCCAATAAGGAAGCAACTGCGCCACATATTCGTGCGCCACGACTACTGTAAGCTATAAAACATGTAAATAAAAAAAGAATATGTGATTATCTTCACTTACGTCTTGTATGTTGAGTAGCGTGTGCCTGGGCAGCGTGTGAACGAGCGCGGGCAAAGCCAATAAGGCCGCAACTGCGCCACATACGCGTGCGCCACGACTGCTCTTAGCGGCGCTACCAACTACGCCTATCACCATGCTGACCTAATGGAATGAAATAACTAATTCACTTAATAAATTAATATAATGAAAAAATAACAATTACTTTACGGGCAGTTTCAATAATCACCTATAATAGTAAAAGGTAAGGATAATCGGTTTTATTACTTAGCCACAGTTAATCATTTAAATAATAAGCCTATCCTTTAGTGAAAGTTGATAATTGTAACGGGCTGTTAATAAAAGTGTTGCATGGTTAGCTTAAATGTATTCCAACTTGTGCTGAGAAACATAACGTGTACTTTTGAAAGGGTCGTAAGGTTTATTTTTCAGTTATTACTTGATATTTCTACAAACAACTTTTCGGTTTATTCGTTGTGTGAGCACGAATCTTAAGAAGGGTTCTAATCTAAATGACTATTGTTCCTTTTAAACCTAATTCAAATATTTAATAATACTGAGCGCAAAATATTACAAAATGCGTACATTCATTTCTCATACGCAAATTAAAAATATTTAAATTAAAAGATCATTTAACTTAAAGGACAATTAAACTTAGTCATGTTAAAATTGTAACCATGTTAAGCTGCGTCAATGATTCCACATCGCCATCCATTACTTCAGCTATATTTGAATTCAAAAATGCTTCCCACTCTTCCAACTCTATGGACGACGGTTCTTTAACTGAAATAAAATTGAAATAATAGTAAAAAGATGGCCATGTAAATTAAAATATTTCTTTGAACAAATAAATAATAATTTGTTAATTACCTTCATGTATTTCTTCAGTCTTTACTATGCGATCATTGTTAGCAATTTCTTTGTCATCAGAGGTTTCTTCGATAATTTCACACTTTTCAATATCCTCATCTTTTGCTTCTTTAGATCCTTTTTCATTGTCAGCTACTATAATGCCTTGTGTTTCAATCGCAGGCTCACTAGTGCGTCTCTGAGCATCATTTTTGTTTTTGTCCCAACTTCTGCTGAAGTGAAATGATCTTTTAATACTTCTAGTCAGCCTATTACCGCCACTACCAAATCTTAGCTTGTCTCTAGAAAATTGCAATATTTTCTGTTTATATGAAGGTGGGACACTTTTACTTAAACCAGAACTCACTTCGCTGCTACATTTAGTTGAGCTTTTAGGGTTTTCTAAGCTCTGTGATGCTGTGTCTACAGTTTTTACTTTTTGTTTAATATTGCTTTCAATTACTTCCTTTGCTTCATCTGTTATTTTATCGGCATTTTGTTTTTCCTCAACAATTTTGTCCATTTTATTTATATTATTATTTTCAGCCTGTTTTTTATTTATTGCCATTAGCTGTGCCATATTGTTTTCTAAGTTACAAACAACAAGATTCATATTGTTCATAATATTATACTCATGCCTTAATAGCTTAGCATTGGCAGCAGTAATAGGGTGTGATTGATCTTCATCATCTGTCTTAAGGCTGTCTCTTACACTAAAAGCACTAGTTGCTCTGACACTATCATCATCTGATATTGGGACACACTCCATTGCATGCATTTTATGGACATTACGTAAGTCATGCTCTATGTTTTCTGTTTTAGATGATTCTCCTTTCAGTTTCATTACCCTGGTGATCGATAAGATTTTAAAATATTAATATCATATCGTCCACACAGAGCGAGTAGCATCGCGAGGCAGCTCAGTTAGTGTGGACGTGCCTCAGCCGAGGTAAGCTCGCGCGCTGCCGCGTGCGAGCGACCCAGCGTCCAAGCCATCAAGTGCCGGCTTTTTGTTTTGAATGCTCAAAGGTGCCTCAGTCGTTTGTCGCGCGCACTCTGTACGCTAGGATATTTTATTCCATGCCTCGCTCAAGCATGCCACCGTAAGACGTACGTGTGATGCCATGATGTTGATTGAACGAACAAAATGGCTCAGACTTGCCGCGCTCGTTCGGGGACAGTTTCCTTGCGTGCCTCGCGAGGTTCGTCGCTCTGTGTGGACGCACCTATCAGGTACTTACAAAGCATGAATAAGATAAATTACTATAACGGCAAATATCATACCTTGCATTACTGTTTATTTTGTCCTTCTGTAATTGTTTAGCTTCTTGTTGACTATGTGTTAATGGTTTTGTAAACGGTGATTCACTTTGGATATCTTCTGGGAGGATAAGAATATGACCCATGACAAATTGATGTTCTAGAATTTCAGGCCAACTCATTCGTTTCATAGGATCTTTATGTAGCAACCCCTGTAATAGTAACAATTTATAGAAGCATAATTTAAAATATGATTAGATTTCAGGTTCATTGACTACACACACTGACATATTTTGAGAAAACATTGTATTTAATTTCTTTTAGTTCTAAATATATAAAAAATATATATAACCTGGAGAAAGGACCTTGCATCAATACTAATAAAACTAGGCCATTGAACCGGTTTGTGTTTTATCATTCGTACGAGTTGCCAAATAGACATTGTACAAAATGGAGGTTGCCCTGCCATCAATTCATATACAATGCAACCAAGAGACCACAAATCAGCCTGAAAAATTAAAATAATTCACATAACTTAGTTTCATCATTTACAAACAAATTTCAGTTTTATTTCAGTATTCATAAATCCCAGAATATTATAATTCAACTAACACAGGGGCCCCATGCCATGGCCAATTTGGCCCTAGGGTTAATACACCCCTGATTTAATATCATGTAACAAAACTCTCTAACTGAATAGGTAATTTGCAATTTGGTAAGCTGAATAGTTTATTTTATATCCTGCTATCAAGTAATTATTGGAGTTAAATGTAAGCCACTTTACAATGAAATAAGTTAAAAGAATGAACTGAATGTTCCATTTTAATTCACATAAGATAAAATAGAATAAAAGCATTTCTTTTTTCAAAACAACATGTTTAAAATTTGCATGTGTCTTAGGATTTCTCATTGTGAAGTTCAGGGTATAAAACTCATAAAATTCATATTAAAACTACCTGATGATCATATGGTTTTTCTTCAATGAGTTCTGGAGCCATATACAATGGAGTTCCTTTTATAGAAGTGAGTATGTGTGTTGAATTTGTCATTATTCGAGCCAAGCCAAAGTCACATAACTTAGCACGGCCTGTGCTATCTAATAAGACATTTTGAGGCTTCAAATCCCTAAAATTTAATCCAACTTTATATACCCATCATTTAATAAGTAACATATTTTGTAGCAAAAACAACAGTTAGTTGAGGAACTATCAAATAATGGTTAAAAGGGTTAAATAGTGACTCCAACATGATAGAATTTTTATCATCTAAAATTAATTAGTTGTATAGTCAGTAGCATAATAAAGTAACTCAGCATATTATTATATAGACACAGTATATTAAAGTCAATCAGCCTGCCTAGCATAAGCACCGTGATATGATATATATGGCATTTTTATCAAGTTTAATTGTCAAATTACTATGGAGTTTGACAATTAGAGGTGATAAAAATGTGATATCTATAGTGTAAATTGTGGTGCTCATGCTATGGAGACTGGTTCAAAGTTTATATTGTGAGGTTTAGCACAGTATTCCTTGATATATGAAAATTATTTACATTTCTTAATAAAAACGACACAAACACTATGGATGTGAGAATAAAAATACCTGTGTAAAACTCTGTGTGAATGCAAATAGTACAGAGCGGAAACTAAATCCCATGTGATTTTTTTTACTTGGTCTTCATTGAGACAACCCTTTTTAGCTAAAATACTATGAAGTTCTTTTTCAGCATACTCAGTAACCACAACCAATTCAGATTCAGTATCAAAACTGTCTATCATGCGAATTATGTTTGGATGCTTTAGCTGCCTCTGAATGTCACATTCTTGTCTCAAATTTTTTAAGTCTTTGGTGGAACGCCCTTTCTGTAATGAAATCAGTGCATTAGAATGTTATAATGATGTCCTCCGTGGATGAGTGGTTTCTACGCCTGGTTTCATGGTGTCGCCTACTTGAGAGGTCCCAGGTTCAAATCCCGGTAGGGGCAGATGTTTGTGTGATTAATACACAAGCATTTATACTCCAGTCATGGACGTTTAATATTTCTATATAAATATACTTATATAGGTACTGTATGTATATGTATTCTATCCGTTACCCTGGTATCCCATAATACAAGCCTTACAGTGCTTTCTTTAGGGCTAGGCTAATTGGTATGGATTGCAAAAAAATAAAAAAAATCTTAAGGCCTTAATCTTAAAATAAAGTTTACAAAAATATACCAACTAACCTTTCGAATCACTTTTAAAGCAACTGTGTCATTAGACTCTTTGTGTTTGGCTTTAAAAACACGACCGAAGGATCCTTCCCCAACAAAAGATATAACAACATAATTATCCATTTTGGGTGAATGTTATACAGTTATTTAGCGGTAACTCCAACTAATAAACACAACAAACATTCTCTGGCAAAAAATAATTGAGACGTGCTTGTTTTTGTTGACATAGCAACGATGTCATTGACAAACTGACAGTTATAGTATTTGTTTTTAGAAATATTCTCTGGTTTAGAAATACCAAGAATTTAGAATTCATACAGTCTTTCCAAGAGTATTTTAATTTTGTCTTCTTTTGAACATTAGATTGAGGCATTCTAATATGTTGTGCTAAAAACTCCACGTTTAGCATGAAATATAGTATCAAATCAGATTATCTGATAACTTATCAGTGATAAGTGAGGCATTCAGCACTGCGATACAGTTTTCACGTCTATTTGACTAGAATAACGTATATTTGCATGATGTCCACTAATTCTTCAGGTGCATAGACGCTTAAAACACAAAATCACACCGCTTCTAAATCATTTTGTTTGCTATAAATGAGTCAGAGAATAATTAAACGCAGACGCCAACCGTACTCGAAGACATCGCGCCAAAGACTTATATAACTTTTTTCACTTGAACTCTGACACACAACCAACCCTGCCACAGCAGAAGCAGAAAAGCACTGTTTGGAAGTGTGCCCGATGCCCATAAAAGTTTATGGGGGTGGATGGTGTAAGTGCACCTCAAAAGCGGTGAATCCAAAAACTGAGCAATTGAACGACGATTGGTTTTAAAAACCAAATCGAGAGAGTTTTGACACATTAACTGCCCGAGCGATTTCTTTATCAAAGTAGTAAATCTAAATCTAATGTCAGAACAACCTATAGATAGACACAACCACATACTCCTATGGTTTTATCAAGTGTGAATCCAACCACCGGATGAACCTGAAGAAAGAATGAACCTGAAGAAGCTAGGTAAGGCGACGAGGTTATGTGCAGCTAGCAGCTATCTTTCCTATTAACTTGGGCGTAGCCAGGTACGGGCAGGGGGGGGCAGCTGCCCCTCCCCCCCCCCTAGATCGAGGAGCTTCGGAACCAAAAATTAAATAATAAATAATCCAAAAACTAAATATAAAATTTAAAAAAAATATAGAATCGCACATCACTCTCATTAGTCTCGCTACTAAAGCTCTGATTTCGATAGGACTACTCGTAAACAGAGAAGTGATTTCGTACGTACCTACGTTAAACATTTCTTGGACGTAAAATGATGGATATAAGGATTTTTTTTAAAGTGTGCAGTCTGTATAATGTTACTGTTTGTACAACTAACAAGTATTAAGGTATTCTTAAAAATATAATTTTGCCGGGCCATGTATCTTAGCCACACATTGCCGGGCAACTATGGCCCGTTTAGAACACAGGTTTAGAAGCATCATAAAAATAAGTTATTCGAAAATTAGTTTTTTACTAGCTAGCACAAGTCCTAAAAGATCATAAAATGACATCTATTCTCATTAATTGTATGTGAGACGAAATTCTTAACAATCCATGTTTCACCGTGCGGGTGCCGAGTCCATCGTGTAACAGAGAGAGAAACTCTGAGCAGTTCCCGGGCCTTGCCATCCGGTGTAGGTTTAAGGAGGCCCCCTTTGAGATACGCATCAACGCTCACCTTCACTGCTTGAGTTGCCCGCCCTTCCTAGCCAAACTTGATAGGAGTCTGTTAGTGCAGCCTTAGTTACTCGTTCCAAAACTAAACTTACTGCAGTTCTCGATAGGCCGAGGTCTTTTAGAAGGTTATAGAAAAATTTTGCTGGTATACCTCTCGCTCCTACTTCTACCGCATGTAAATTAACTATAGTCTATTCACTTTGGGGTGAGACAAAATGTAAACAATGAATCAGAGGTTCTAAAACTTTTATAATGTCAGAAAGTACCTACTAAGTTACATAACCTATAATGAAATTATAATGAATTCTGTCTATATGATGATATATATAATAAAAGAATATGTATTTCAAATGAAACCAGCATAATACTTTACAAGTAATATTTATTCACTCTCCGATGACTCACTGGATGAACTGCCACCAACTTTAATTATAAATTTATCTACAACATCATCAACAATACCATCTAATTTTAGCATTTTCTGCTCTTCTTTTATGACATGGTCAATGCACCGTTTCCATGATTCAGCTGTTATAGATTGTAAGGCATCGGCTAATAGATTTTTAATTTCAGTCATCTTAAATGTTTTATTATTTTTACCAACATATCCCTTGACTTCTGCCCATATCAGCTCAATGGGATTTAATTCACAGTGGTAAGGTGGTAGTCTTAACACTGTGATACCCTTTTGTTGTGCCATTTCGTCTACAACATATGTCATATAAGCATCCTTAATTTGTTTAATTTTATACAGAAGCTCAACCTTTCTTTCACTTTCGTCAAAGGATATGTTTTTATCCTGTAGCCATGCTTGCAACTCACACTTCTTATTAGAAGACGTAGGTATCTTTTCTTTCCTTCTTGAATGGTACGGTGCATTATCCATGACAACAACAGAGTTAGCATCTAATTTAGGCAGAATATCACTAAACCATTTCTCGAAGTTGTATGCATCCATCTCAGAGTGGTAGTCTCCGTCACTTTTTTTTGCCTCAAAAATCAATTCTCCCCCTTCCAAAAATCCTGAGCTGGATCCTGTTAACAAACAATATATCATTACTCAAAATGAATCATTAGTTACTATTATATATAATAATAATGCAATTCAAGTATATATATATATAATATAAGGATAACTTTCTAATCTTAGTCTTTGATCTTTTTGCCTTACCACATGTTAAAATAAAATTATTTACATACATTAATATAATCACGCTTGTTATCCCACAAACGGTTGACAAGAGTTTTAGGTAATGCTTGGGTATTGTAAAAGTAAAGTTATTTGCTTACAGGAATTAAATAGTACTACAATATTTACCAATATGCAGTACGATCAGACGCTTCCCTTTTCCACTTGGGCTTTTCAATCCAATTGACAATCCCTCTCGATGAGCTTCTTTCACAGTTTTAATAGAATTATCTTGCCAAATTTTGTTCATAGTGTGTCCTGTAACAAATAAAAGTTCTTAACAACTTTTGAAAAATAAAAACAATCATAATTTAATTCAATTGCTACCTATTTGAGTAACATTTTCACAGGATAAAGACATGGTATGAAAATAATAAGTATCATTAAATATTTACAAAAATATTGTCATAAAATTATGTATATGTAAATTATAATAAAAATTAATATATGATAGTATTGTGATGATTAACAATAAAAAATATAAATTAGTTTAGCAGTTAAGAATACAAAAATAAACATAATTTATTCAGAAGTAAATATCCCATAGAATGAAGTAGTTTAATATTGTATTTTACTAACCTTCATTTAGCCAAGTCTCATCAGTGTAATAAATAGTTCTGCCTTCGCCCCTGAACTTTACAATATTGTTTAAATATTTGATACGCCATAAAATAATGTCATCCCTTTCAATAAGTCCACTCTTTCGGCTTCTTTTCGCATATTTAAATTGCAATGTTTTCATTAACTTGAAAAAGGAGGTCCTCTTAAAGTTTGGCAAAGTTTCATCTGTGTTCACAGCGTGCAATACTTTGTCAACGGTGGGCATCTCCTTATTAAAAAAAAATGTGTGGACTTTACGGCGTATCGCAGCCTTATCCATATCGTCCAATGTATCAACCAAAGATAGTTTAGATGGCGGAGGCGGAGGTGATGAGATACGGCCGGTACTTTTCTTTTCCTTCACCAACCGGTAAACAGTAGCTCGTGATAAGCCCAGTATTTCGGCGGATTTATTCATTATATCGCTTTTATAAGGATAGGAATCTTTTGGCCAGGTTTCTTCGACATGTTTAAAAACATTTATTACGACCTCCTTTTCGTTGGAGCGCAATGGACCACTCTTTGTACGCTTTTTCTTCGGCGAAGAAAATGTACAAGAGCTGCTTGGTCCAGGTTCACCACTCATAACTATAGCCACGAAAACGTCAATTCAACAAGAAAACAATCACTAACAACTTTAAACTTAACAGTAAAAAAAAATAACAACTAAATCAACAAATAAAACAAGGAAATAACAAGAATTTAACAAATAAGATTGTATATGCACGCTCGCGTCAACAGGTTGATCGGGAGAGTAAAGATGGCTGGCGTAAACCAACCGATTACAAAACACAACACTTCAACGTAAAATACTTATATCATGCGACTCTTAAATTTTGTCGTAATATAATACGTCTTAAGTTTGGGAATATTTGTGTTTTTAGGTCTTTTTCCTTGTCAACTTAGGTTTTTAAAATACTTTTTTACGCAAAATAAAAATATACGATTTTATGATGTGTAGGTTTAAGTTAAATGTATGTAAAATATTTTATTTTCTTATTCATATGTATGTGCCAGCTTTTAAAATAATTAACTTAATGTTTCGCTGCATTTTCTATGTAAATAGTATTTAATATTTACTTTTGCCAAAAGTGACCTTAAAAAGTATCCATTTTATGGTTTGTTTACATTTTGTCTCAGCCCAAAGTGAATAGACTATAGATAGCTATTTTTGGTTAGTTCGTTGGTAAGATCGTAATATTTATTCAATTTTATTGTGAGGTATTTTGGAATATCTCGGACGACCTCCGTGGCGGAGTGGTTTGTACGCCGGGTTTTATGGTGTCGCCGATTCGAGAGGTCCCGGGTTCGAATCCCGGTGGGGGCAGATATTTGTGTCGCGAATACGAGCATTTGTACTCCAGTCATGGATGTTTAATATGTATTTCTATATAAATATACTTATATATGTACAGTATATGTATTCTATCCGTTACCCTAGCATCCCATAACACAAGCCTTACAGTGCTTACTTTGGGGCTTGGCGAATTGGTGTGTGTGTTGGAAAAAAAAATGTTAGTACGATACAGTAAGCTCTATTAGTACTTTACTTATGTTTGATGTGCCTAAAAAGAGGAATACGTCCGGTCTGGATGACGATGAGACACCAGCATCATCTGGTACATTGTAGTGATTTTCATACGTATCTTTTAAAATAGTCTAGTACGGTTCAGTATCTAGGATTGAAAAAGGCTTGCTTTTCGAGTTTACAGTAGAGCCTTTCTTTATATAGTTAA